TAGCTGGAGATTGTGACGTCTGTAGCTGGAGATTGTGACGTCTGTAGCTGGAGATTGTGACGTCTGTAGCTGGAGATTGTGACGTCTGTAGCTGGAGATTGTGACGTCTGTAGCTGGAGATTGTGACGTCTTTAGAAGGAGCGAGTCTTCATTTTGCGCTTCTATTCTCCAGATAAAAAAAAAATAAAAAATGCAGGGGCGTCACTTGACGGTACAGTGTTTGCGGCTGCATCGAATGGCACCATGACATCGAATGGCACCATGACATCGAATGGCACCATGACATCGAATGGCACCATGACATCGAATGGCACCATGACATCGAATGGCACCATGACATCGAATGGCACCATGACATCGAATGGCACCATGACATCGAATGGCACCATGACATCGAATGGCACCATGACATCGAATGGCACCATGACATCGAATGGCACCATGACATCGAATGGCACCATGACATCGAATGGCACCATGACATCGAATGGCACCATGACATCGAATGGCACCATCACATCGAATGGCACCATCACATCGAATGGCACCATGACATCGAATGGCACCATCACAGGGACATCAAAATGGAAAAAAGGAAATTGAACAGTTTTTTCAAGATGATTTACTAATTTTTAGTAGTTTAGTACAAGTTACAAGAGCACAGGGCCACAAGAAATGGATAGCTCCTAACAGGGTGCCACCAGATCAGGGGGCCATCAGAACACGGTGCCACCAAACCAGGGTGCCATCAGAACAGGGTGCCATCAGAACAGGGTGCCACCAGATCAGGCAGGGTGCCATCAGAACAGGGTGCAACATGAACAGGGTGCAACTAGAACAGGGTGCCATCAGAGAAAACATACTCGTAGGAGGTCCATGGGGCATTCTGGAAGAGGCGACACCATGAGTTTACCGCACTTGATGACACCATGAGTTTACCATACTGGGGGACACCATGAGTTTACCGCACCGGGTGTCACCATGAGTTTACCGCAAAGGATGACACCATGAGATTACCATACTGGATTACACCATGAGTTTACCGCACTTGATGACACCATGAGTTTACCGCACTTGATGACACCATGAGTTGACAATTCTGGGTGACACATGAGTTCATGAGTTTACCGCAAAGGATGACACCATGACTTTACCGCACTGGGTGGCAACATGAGTTTACCGCACTGGATGACACCAACCCTAGTGGCGCCTATGCCCACATATAACTGTCCCAGCATTCTGTCTATCCGGCTTTAAAAATAAAAATGTTCAACGTCCAATATCATCAACTACACAGAAATTTTGGGTTAGGGTTTGGGTTTGGGTTAGGGTTTGGGTTAGGGTTTGGGTTAGGGTTTGGATTAGGGTTTGGGTTTGGGTTAGGGTTTGGGTTAGGGTTAGGGTTTGGGTTTGGGGATTTGAGTTTGCTCATAATTTCAAAGGAGGATGATTTGCAGGGCCATGTTAATAACACATGGGGCCTGTGTACAGCAATGCACTGGGCCCTCTAGCAACACAACAGACTTGGGCTGTGAGAAAGGGGGCACTCGCCCCACGCTATAACAGTGTGGGGAGGGGTGTACAAAAGTTCCTGCTCCCCACCAACTAATCAAGAAGAATAAAAATGTAAAATAAACATTCAATACATTTAAACATTGATTACTACAATTGATTGATAAAAAAGATAAAATCATTCCAAATCAATAATAGTTTAAAAAATTATCAGAAATAAACTATAATTAATTAACAGAGGATGATCAATTATCATTATTTGTCAGATATATAAAATAAATTATTTAATATAAATCAACATAATCGTTGGCGTAATTTTTTTGCAGAGAATAGTTTTATTATTGATTTACAGTTAATTTAAATCTTAAGGATGCCATTTTCCAAACACATAAGTGAAAGCCGCAGTTCAAACGTTCTCATTGTACACGAAGCTGATTCTTTATGAGCTTCAATCTTGAATGTGAACTTTCCCCTTATTCTCATGATTTTACAAGTCAACATCTTTGCACTGCATGACGTCACTTGATTTTTACCCTCTTTCCATAATGTCGTTCCAAAGAATTGACAGAAAGATCGTTTCCAGGTTGCCAATGTCCTTACTTAGTCCTTCTGACTCACACCTCATATCATTTTTCTTACCGCCCGGGACCAACATCTTTGACTAACATGAGTGGAAACAAAATTTCGTACCTTATTTTTTTAGATTCATATCTAGGAGAAGTAAAACTTGTTGACGAGAGTTATGCCCCTTTAAAGTTAAAGGTTTAAAAATATTCATCTTATGATTCGCATTTATATTAATATTTTTTGGAATGTGCAGATAATTTTGTGGGTTAAAATTGGGAAACGTGCTGTCCACTGACTTTAAAATCAATTTAAATTTCCAAAATATATCAATATTCATTACCAATATGTAAAGCATGATGCCTCTATAAGAATGAGTCTCCTAGAAGATCGAAGCCCCCTAGAAGTGTCAGGCCCCCTAGAGGTGTGAGGCCCTGGGCCAGTGCCCATGCCTAAAGACGCCACTGTGATGATGATTGATTACTTGTATAGCGCTTGTGTCCATGCTATTCTAGCTTGACTCAGAGCGCTTTGATGTCACAAAATCTATTTAAAGAAAAATGTCTTTAAATGTCTTTTAAATGATTTTTTTTATCATTTTTTTTTAAACTGTTCCATAATTTAGGCGTTATAGCTTCGAAAGAGCACACTCCGAAGGTGACTTTTTGTGTCTCTCCACGATAGGAACTCTCAGTAGGGACTGTGATGTAGAATGTAGATAGTAAGGTGTAGAGCCTTTCATACAGCTGCACGTCAGGGACAGAATTTTGCGCTCACTCACAGGAAGCAAGCCAGAAACAAACCCTGACCACAGAACTGGTTTGATGAATCATTGTGAGTTTACTATGCCAATGTTGCATGATATTTAAATTAAGAATAATAATACTTACAGGCCCATTCTTAGCATACGCTGAATACGCATCCGCGTAGGGCCCCGAATGTGAGGGGGCCCCCGTGAGGCACCCTCGATCCCCCGTTTTTTTTTAAACTGGCCCTGCAGCCGTCTGTGTCACTCACGTTACCTTCCTCATCCTGAAATGTATCATTCTGGGTTGAATAGCACCTGCCACCATATCACCTGCCAATATAGCATCTGCCACCATAGCACCTGCTGCCATCATAGCACCTGTCACCATAGAACCTGCCAATATAGCACCTGCCACCATAGCACCTGTCGATGTTCCGACCGTTACTTGCAGTTGCACCTAAAGAAAAAGAAATTATGTCATCAGATCATCTGATATCCCACAGACAGGATCGTCCCTAGCAAACAATGGGAGACTTGAATGGTCCACATCTAGACCACTGCCGAACACGAACACACATACACGAACACACACGCGCGCGCGGGCGCACACACACACGCACGTACACACACAAACACACACACGCACAAACACACACAGGCACACACAATACAAAGAATGTAATTCAGGAAGAAATACAACATAATTTATTGAAAGCAATGCAGCCATTTATCTCCATTTCCGGCCGGATTAGAAATAAATAGATTAAATTTTAATGGTTACCACTTCTTAAACCTGATTATACCAAATAAAAACTTGGAGAAAGTCATGAAATAAATGTTCTTAAATGAGTTTGTGAAATCATTCCCACACTGATCCGAAATTTCCACAGGTCCTTGACCCATAGACCAACTTAGACTGAGTTGGAGGAATGTGTTTGCAGATCGTCGAAGTATTCTTGCTTTTTATTTTTATATTAACCCTAAATGGATCTGCAACAATCTTGTTTATTCGATCATCCTTAGCTTTTCATTGGTCAACATTCTTTTGAAGATTCGCAGTTTTTTAAACCATGACCATGCCGTTGTAAAACACACACACACACACACACACACGCACGCACGCACACACGCACGCACGCACACACACGCACACGCACGCACACACATACACATGCACGCAACACACACACACACACACACGCACGCACGCACGCACACACAACTAATGCCTATTGGCTAAGATCAAAGTAGAGATCCTTTTCTATCTAAGATTCGCAGTTTTTTATACCATGACCATGCCGTTGTAAAACACACACACACACACACACACGCACGCACGCACACACGCACGCACGCACACACACGCACACGCACGCACACACATACACATGCACGCAACACACACACACACACACATGCACGCACGCACGCACACACAACTAATGCCTATTGGCTAAGATCAAAGTAGAGATTCTTTTCTATCTGGTTACCAAGCCTGTTTTTGTGACTCGTGGTTTCGCATCTTTGTGATTGTGTCTGGTCGTAGCTCGTGATCGGTGGAATAATTATTAGAGATCCGCTCGTCCCTACGCCTACATACATCTGGGGGCAGCAAAAATGGAGAAGAGATTTCGTAAATAACTTATTTAAGCGTATTTAAGCTATCAAATATAGCCTATCTTATTTTATACAAGTAAATAATCCGATTTAACGATCAAATTTGAAATAATAGAATTCATCGGCATCGGCTTTGCATCGGCATCGGCTATTTTATTTTTCATTGTTTACTGTGGCTTTTCAAAGATCGCTTTTGTTGCCCTAAGGGGCTGCATGGTCAATTGTAAGTACTATTGATTCATTGATTGAAATTCTTAATTCAGAATTAAATAATAATGTATTTATTTATTTTTAAAAAAAGAGAGACAACTCTAAATTAAATCAGTTAAGCTCTTCTATGTCAAAACATCTCTTTTCCTTCATTGTGTGTATTCTTGTTGCATTGCATCCGGTATTTAAAGCATGGCGAAAAGAAAGTTAATTGCTGATGCAGTAAATGGCCCTAAAGGAAAAAAAGTCAAAAAGGATATTATATTGCAACCAGTTGTTTCGTCAGATGATCCTATCCCACGACAGGTATCTAAAATTATTGCACAATTGAACTAGTTAGTTAATTAATAAGCAATAACAGCATACTTGGCTGCGGCTATTTGGACGGAGACGACGGAGTTATTTTAAAAGTTACTTGGATACAAAATTTAAAAAAATTCAAATAATTTTTTTAATAGCACAGTTAGTTAGAGCTAATTTCAAATAAGAAAATGAAACCAGAATCAACTTTTTAGCTTAAGTACTTTTTGAGCTATGAATTTTTAAAGTGTGAGTTCGTTTGGTATTTTTTACTATGGACGAAACCTCCACATCTTGTGACCTCATTCCGCTGATCGCGTCATGCGCAATGACTATATACTTTATATAAGGCAACGCATCGCCTTATCACTAAAATACTGTTTAGGGTCGACTTAGTTTAAACTTTCAACTTTGGCACATGAATAATTAATTAAAGCTTTCCCTGACCAATGGTTTAGTAGTTTTTGCACACGGCAAACTCTTATGAATGAAACTCTGAGGTAGTACTACGATACAGTTATGCAAGTGGCTGTGAATGGTTGCCAATGACAACGTGTTGCACACGGTAAATTCTGATCATTTATAATATGGATTCTACCGGGTTGTTAAAGCTCAAATTAAAACATTCCAGTTTAAATGTCTTTAAATGCATTCTGAAACACAAGTTATCAAATATTTTGATGTAGATAGTGGTAATAAATTAATATTTCCTAAGTATCGGCAACTTCCGCCATTACAAAGGGGGCGTGGCCCACCCCATGACGAAATTAGGTTGAGCGAGCTGCATGACCTGCTGCGAACGCGCAGAAACATAGCGTCTCTCGTAAGACACTTATCGCTGTGAAAATTGGCATACATGTAGATCAATAGATTCCCCAGATGCAAAAAAAATTTGGTAGTGACAAATTTTTTCCTTCGACTTAATTTTAATGATGAAAGTTGCCTTATATTTACCAAGGATTTTCTCAAAGCTGACTGATTGTAAATGAAAAAGAAATTGATTAAAATGTAGGCCAAGATGTCTACCTAATTATAAGGCCGAAAACGGAACTCAAATACATATCGAAAGTACTAATTTAATAATAAATAGACACACACATCGGAAAATTAAAAACTCGGATTTTTTGGCGCCGATTGCGAAATCCCATACACAAAAAGTAGTAGTCTCCCTTGACTTACCGAAGTACCTATTAAAAGTTATTAAAATTTAAAAACTATTATATGTATTTATATTATATGCTGAAAATGAATTAGAACTAATTGTAGATTGTAATAAAAAAAGCATGCCCATAAATATGGGCCATATTTTTAGATCAATAAAAGAATCTTATCTTATTTCTTATCAGTCTCCCAAACTCAATCATAAATCTTCATTAACTTCGTAATCATACCTAGAGTCTAGAGCCTAGATTGGTAAATTCAGAGAGAGCTTCCCGCGTCTATTTCCATGGCCACCATCTTGGTTGCCTCGATCCGCGCACTTTCACGGGTCGAGGCAACCAAGATGGCGGCCATGAAAAAATAAAATAAATCACGTTTTCTAAAATTAGGAAGAAAACGTTAAAAATGGATGAAAAAAATGTCTTAAATCGATCACTATGCCTAACCCAAATCCTAAATCTAAGCCTAACCCGAACCCTAAATTTATCCCTATGCCTAACTCGAACCCTAAATCTATCCCTATGCCTAACCCGAACCCTAAATCGATCCCTATGAGTATGAGTATGCCTAACCCGAACCCTTAATCAATCCCTAAATGTAACCTGAACCCTAAAACTACACCTACAGCCACAAGTAAAAGTATGTGGGGTAAATTTACGAACTGTGGCAAGAAAATGATTTTAAAAAATTTAAAATGTAAAAAAAACTCCCAAAATAATTATAACATAAAGAAACAATGAAAATCCAACTTACAGTTTCGTGAAACACACTTTTGCACACTTTATTTCAGGTTCCAACGAAAATATAGCCACAAAATGAATAAATCTCCACACCCCAAAGATATAAAATATGGCGGAACAAAAGAAATATGATAATGAGCCAACCAATAAAAAATTTATAATTATAATTAGTCAACCAATAAAATTTTAATTCCAAAAATGTAACTCTTTTAACAAAAAAAATAAGGGCTGTGAATCCAAAACAAAGTCGCAGCTAAATTTGAAACAGCCCCTAGAATCTATCACTAACCTAAACCCTGGAACCATTTGGTAATCTTGCAGTTCAGTTGCGTATATTATTTCTGGTCGAATTTCATATTATGGCATGTAAACTTACGTATATTCTTCATTAAATTAAATCCAGGCAGTGATAGTTAACTAATTATGAATTATACAGCGCTTATTTTCGTTTTATTCTATTTCCAATAAGCGTCTTTGAACATCCCCAACCCTCCATAGCTCCATTTGTTTTGTATTTTATTTTCACCCCGTTGCCAGATTTTGATCACCTCTACTATAAATAAGTTGGTACCTGTATGCTAAACAACATTTTTCAACTGTAGGCATGTACAAAAAGAATGAAAGGGGGGGTGCTTTGAACTTAATTAGATGTTCCATTATTTTATAGGGGCCCAAACTTCTTTTTTTTTCTTATATTTATATGGGGTGTTTAATATAATTCCAAACAAAGGCTCCCCCATGGGCATGGTTGAATGGAACTAGATCAAACTTAGTACACATACTCATACACTTGATTGATTATCCATATTCAAAAACGGGTACTGAAGGGAATGAACTCATAATTTTAATTTTTCCTAAAACTAGCCGCCAATATACCCGCCAATTTTATGTAAATTTATTTTGTGAACAAGCTTTTAGTTTGAAAAGTTAAGAATCAACAATAAAATAATTTTGGTATAATTTATTATAAATCTTATTTCTTGTGACGTTTTTTGTGAATTTGCTTTCAATTAAAAAATTGCAATCTGGCATGTAGGCGGGTGAATTTTAAAAAAATAAGAAAAAAATGGGAAGGATCGTTCACACTACCGGCTATGTACCATTGGGGGCTTTAAAAATCAATAAAAAGAAAAGTTATTGCTGTACAATTTGGTGTTAGTTTTAACAAATACTATCAGGATTAAATTTTATTAGGAATACACATAATTTTATGCACGATAATATGAAATTCGATCAGAAATAGTGTACCTTAAATTTGTTATTCTTAATATTTTCTATGTTTTTATGAACATTTAAATAATATAGGTTAATTTAGGCTTATTTTTAGGTCTCAATTATGTTTTGTTTTTTTGTTCCTTCAAAAAAAAAAAATCAAATAGATCAAATGGACAAACAAACAAAGGACACTGATTTTTTCTTCAAGGGGTATTTCTTACAGAACAAGACATTTAATGATTGACCTACGAACACTGATGCCTCATTCAAAGCCAGGTTAGAGTTTTTTCCCTGTTAATTTTATTATTTTACTGATGATTGCTATTTCTTAGTTGTATAGTATTAACTTATTTTGAGAAATTATACATCTTGCTCATTATTAAGTTGGTGAAAATCAGTATTCTTTATTGATTTATCTAGTTATAATAATTGTTACCTACTGTAGTACTCATTCAGTTTTTTCATTCTTTATTTTCTTTGTTGATTTTTATACTGCAAAGGTTTTGTGTGTTTTGGACAAAGATTTTAATTTTTCAAGGCCTATTGATTAAAAATACCTTCTGTCTAATATCTCTACCTTACTTTTCATTGATTGGAACAATTCAAAACTCGCTGGAAGCACAAAACTAAGGATCTACCAGACATGTGTGCTCAGTAAGCTCTTCTATGGCAGTGAAGTGTAGAACACATGAGTAGAACTTAAATGCTTCCACTTGTGTAAAAGAATATATGAGACTATCGCTGATTACCATTCCAGCTGGAAACAGTAGTGAATTTGGGAATCCCATGAGGCAGTAGTTACGCAAAACAAAGCCCGTGTAGCAAAAAAGAGAAATACAGAGCGCCAAAAAAAACCAGTAGACAAGGTTTTTTTGCAAGTAACAGCAACAAGTGCAGCAGAAACTGCCACGCTAAGAAAAACCTCATAAGCCATTGAGAAAGTGCTATTAATGCAGAAGCCACACTATCGTCTCACAAAGATTGGGGGGATGCCGATAATAATATATAGGCCACAGGTTTCGAATAATTTTCTTTTTAAATTTGGCACAACACATAATCTTTTTTTTAAAGACTTTTAGTTGTTAATTTTAATTGTTATCAAATTAATCCTGGTCATTCACTCTTTTCAGAACCTAAAATGGACAGAAAAGACAAACTTTTTATAATTAATGAGGTAAGGATAATTCATGTTAAAATATTGTAAAACAGCTGTATATTACTTAAGAAAAATTGTCTGAAGAAGGTCGCAAAGTGAACAATTACATCAAGTAATCACTGTATGGAAACCTTATCTCGTTTCTCTAACTACTTTATGTGGATGGTAACCTCAGGTAATAACATATTTACTGTTAGCCTTTCACTTTATTTGATCTGCTAGACCAGTGGTTCTCAACCTTCCTAGTGCCGCGACCTTTTAATACAGTTTCTCTTGTCGTGGCGACCCCCAGCCACACAATTTTCGTTGCTACTTCATAGCTGTAAGGGTATGTGTTTTCAGATGGTCTTAGGCGACCCCTGGAAAAGGGTCCCGCGACCCACAGGTTGAGAACCGCTGTGCTAGACTGCTCACAATCAAGGCCTTGGAACTCAGCTCTAACTGTCCCAGGTTACTGTCTTCTCCTGTCCGCCTTCGCTCTCTCCCGACTACTCCTCTACAGTGGGCTGGCCGGCTCGTCCACCTTCCGGCTTAACTCTCCTTGTCCAGTTCTAACTATCCCCTTTTATAAGTCCATGAATCTTCCTGGGTTTCTCTAGAGATTACTTCCCCATGCTTTTCTTATTTCTACATGCGGGTACTCTAATTAACCTAACCCCACCCTCCGTCTAAATGGATCTCAACTAGCCACTCCCCATGCATTCTAATGCCTAATTATATTAGTGTCTCCGTCACACTTGTGCTTGGTGATGTCGGATGCACATGTTAGTTGGTCAGTCTTCGTACTGTGGGTTTCCCCCTCACCCTGCACTCTTGACCTCCCTTGCATTCTAACGTCTTGATTTATCCTAGTGTCAATGTCAACTCATGCTTTTCTTGGTCCCTGGCGTCTGTGGCAATCTTATGCGCATGCTAATTCATCAGTCTTCGTACTGTGGGGTTCCCCCTCATCCCTGCAGCCATCCTATTGTGGGTCCCCAACCACCCAGGCTGAACTCTCTACAATATTGATTGCTTAGCATTTAAATTTCCTTTATTTATTTTGCCCAAGGCGGATAAAATCTCTGTCTTTTTTTCATTATTATTTTTTTTTTAATTTTGCTCTCACTTTTGTGTTTAGTTCTAATCCCAAACATTTGAATCAATATATATTTTGAAATTTCAGATTTGTGAAATGAAAAATTGCAACAAATGTTTGTACTTTGAAGGAAAGAAAAAACAAGATGTATATTTGTGGTAAGTTCAGTTATCTACATGATCAAGTGTTATTTTAAGTAACAATTTTTTTTTTGTTTGATAGCAATTTTTTAAATGATCTCTTTAAAGTCTGTTGTTGAACTTTTAAATGAGTCTTTTTCTGTAAATGTGCAACACATTAATTTCAGGGCATCCAATGTTCCTAAAGGGCCATCAGTAAAATTTTTGGTTGAAAACAGTAAGTATTGGTTTTATATCATGTTTATAAAAATGTTCTTTTCACATTTAAACATGCAGTTATGTTTCAATGTAAGCAGACGTTATGATCATTTTTTTTTCTTCTATATAATATGTATAAAATAATTATTTTTAAAATTATGTTTCAGAATAACCTTCAATTTTTTTTTGAAAATAATGATTTATTACAAAAAATTTCAAGATATTTCATGAACTTAAATGTCAATTTTTTAATTTTATTTTTCAAATCAACGGAAGGAAACAAGATTAAACTTTCAATTAACCATAAAAAATAAATGCAATGCATGTAATATCCCCATTCTTTTAACTTTAGGTTTGTATTTGTATTTATTTTATGTAATTGGTTAATTCTTAGGCTCAAAAATATATAATACCTACTCAAAATGTATTTTTTATTTTATAGTCCACACAATGAGTGAACTAAAGTTGACTGGCAACTGCTTGAAAGGATCTCGGCCACTCCTTTCTTTTGACAAGGTATCGCTATTATTCATCAATGTTCATAGCAATACATTTGTATCCACAAAATTTCTGGTGTATTGAAAAATCAGAATATATACATACACCCTAATATATATGGGTGTATTTGTACTGGTAATTCTGATCACTAACTATAAGAGAGCTTGCGATAGTTACAAGTTTTTACCGGTGTTTGTGTGTCGATTAATATTTTTACATTTCTCTGAGTATACATATCCATGTGCTGTAAATGAATAATTTCTATATATTTGATTTTTTGCTTTTTATCAAGATTGTTAGTATTGTTATTGCATATATGTATACCTAATTTTACCCAACACCACTTGTCTCCCCTTTGTATTTGTTTTAATATTGACCTCACTGAGTAATCGTGCTGTGCCACTCCCTAACCACTCCTACCTTTATTGGGAAAAGGTTGTTTACATTTGAACATGTTTTATTTGTTCTAAAGTATGATATGAGGTGACGCAATTTCTGCTATTTATTCTTCTTCTTTATTTCTTCTTTATTTTGAGGGCCCACGATCAATGAATTGATCATTCTGGCTCCTATGTTTACTAGATTGGCATGATTGAATATATATATATATATATATATATATATATATATATTAATATATATATAAAATGCCAGCTTTCCTAGCTGAGAGAGTGTTTCTCTACATTTCCTAACATATATGAGACGTTATATATTTTTCTCTCCTATGTTTTTTAAATTGGTATGATTAAATATATATATATATATATATATATATATATTAATATATATATAAAATGCCAGCTTTCCTAGCTGAGAGAGTTTTTCTCTACATTTCCTAACATATATGAGACGTTATATAAGTACAAGTTTATACTCTTTATGTGTGTGTAAATTAATATCTTTATTTTTTTTAGGATTGTACCTTTTCACTTGCTCTGCTGTAAGCTGATACAGTTTTTGTTTCTGTATATTTCGATTTCTATTTTAATAGAAATTTAGCACCAATAGGATATTGTTAGTATCACTAGCTTTGGTATCGTTTTTCTTTGTATACTGGTTCTCAGTCCTGTGTTACGTATTGTTCATTCTACAATCCAAAACTTAAAATAGATTAAATTTTCAAAACCACATACCGGTATTGTATTGGTATGTTGCTATAAAATATTGTTGATCAATATTTATAAGGAGAGGTAATAGAGAAATTCTTTTTTAAAATCTGTAATATTTTTTAAAAAAATATTTTAGAGGATTTTTAATTCTAGTGTGTTTTTGTTAAATTTCAGGCTTTCAGCTCTGAACCCCACTGGCAGTTGCTGAAAGAGTTGTTTGTACAGGTAAAATATATCAAATAATTTCAAACTGGATAATTCAACAGCTGTATTTCCCTCTGGCCAAAAGACAACATGGGGGGTTGCACGCTGGTCGTTGAGTGACTATCAGCATCCTTCCGTCTCGTGAGACGATGGTGCATCACCGTTTGGTTGGGTTGCATTTTCTCGAGTGGCTGTGCAGTCCTATCCTTGAGTGACAGTCTTTACCACAGTTTTTACTCACGAGTTCCGTGCTTCTAAATGTTTTGGCCTTTCTCCTAGCTCTTCTGTCTGCAGCCTCTTCCATTCTTCGCTCCTCGGCTACCATGACGCCCTCTTTGACAACTGTGCGCCACGTAGATCTGCCTTTTGCCTTACACTCCCAGTCACTTGTATGTATTTTGGCTGCTTTCATGTCCCTTTGACAGACATCTTTAAATCGCAGACGTGAACGACCTGTTTTCCTCTTTCCCGAAGCAAGTTCACCATATAGGAGGTCTTTCGGAATGCGGCCGGGACTCATTCTTTTAACATGATCTAGCCATCTCAGGCGTCTTTCACTAAGGATTGTTGAGTACAGTCAGTACATTGAAAGCCAGCAAAAGTTGTTAGGTTGAGTTCAGTCAGTACATTGAAAGCCAGCAAAAGTTGTTAGGTCGTAGGCTGTGAAACATTTTCAGAATCTATGTAGGTGGCATAGCTCGATTCTGCTCTGGGCACAAGTTAACAAATGCATATTGTTTCAGAAGTTTGGTGGCAGATAGCGTAACTTTTCTAGCCTGTAAAGTAGCATGAGATTCTATAGAGTTCTGTTTCATCAGGCTTATATGGCAGTCAATTCTCACTCACATGTCGCTTATTCTTTTCTTCATGTATAACTTACTTGCATTGGTTCCGTCCTCTCTGTAACCCAACCAAACACATCTGGGAAGTGAATTCCCTATCATGTCAAATTGCTCATTGACTGCAATAACTGTGTCACCTGCAGCTCACTAACTTTAAGGTTACTATTTCACCTTCTTGTTCAATGTGTATACCACCTCCCCAAGATAGCACTACCATCATGGTATGTCCTGAACTTCTTCCTTTTTGTGTGGGCAGCGCTGGATGGGACACTTAAGAGGATGCCAGATCACAGAGTTTTGGCAGAGTTGAATGTTGGGTGGGGTGATGTAGTGTCCTGCATGGCATGCAACATGGTTGTTAAATTAATGTTCAACAAAAATTGAATTGCATCCACATCTCAGGTTTTTGACTTCTGAAATGCTATTTAAAAATATGATGGGTTTTGGTGCATTGCTTTTCATGTAGATCGCTTGTATTAAATTTCTATTTGGTTTCTGTTTGGATTTATTTTTAAAGATTTGTTTGCATTTTATCTTAAGATTTTTGGCACTCCAAACCATCACCCCAAAAGTCAACCATTTACAGATCATGTGTTTACATTCTCAATACAAGATAATCGTATATGGTTTCGCAACTACCAAATTTTGGCTGAGGATGGATCTCTTGCTGAAATAGGTGAGTCGATTATATTTTTGTATACCATTTAAAGGTAATTATTAATTTTACTACAGTCAAACCCGCTTATCTCACCATCCCTGTTATGTCGACGTTTTTTAAAGTGGAACCGCCAAATTCTCTTTAGCATTTTCTCCTTGGTTATGTCGATTCTTTTATGTCGCGGAACCCTGATATCTCGAGCACCAAAGACGGCCATATTTGCCACTTAACCTTGGTTATCTCGATCCCCATGACCAATTGTCGGCTTTTGAACTCCGCCAGAGTTTCATTCGTAAGAGTTTGCCGTGTGCAAAAGCTATTAAAGCATTGGTCAGGGAAAGCTTTAATTAAATAGTTGTGCCAAAGTTGAAAGTTCAAAATAAGTAGTCCCTAAATAGTATTTTAGTAATAAGGGGATGCATTGCCTTATATAAACTATATATTCATTGCGCAAGACACTATCAGCAGGATGAGGTCACAAAATGGTAAGGCTTCGACCATAGTAGAAAATACCAAACTCACACTTTAAAAATTCGTAGCTCAAAAAGTACTTAAGTTAAAATGTTGATTCTGGTTTCATTTTTTTAAAATGCAAATTCCACCAAAAAACCAACCCCCCCCCCCCCCCCGACCATAACAGAGTTCTACTGTACTAAAATGTCTAAATTTTAACTTATTCTTTTTCACTTTACAAATATGCAATAAAAATTTCTAAAAGAGGTTATATTTTAATCCTTTCTAATGAACAGGGCCACGTTTTGTTTTGAATCCAATACGGATATTTGCTGGCAGCTTTGGGGGTGCTACCCTGTACCAAAATCCAAACTACATTTCACCAAATGATGTGAGTTTTAGTTAAAATAACTATAAATAATTATAATACACTTAGCACAGACATGGACAACCTATGCCCCTGGAGCGTTTAATGGGGTTCGTAAGACTTGCCAGGAATTGGGATATAGTTTCACCTGCTCCATTCTTAACTAGTAATCGAGAATTTATTATAATTTTTCTACATATAATAATTGAATCCACTCCAATTTCAGTTTCGTCGTGCATTACGGCGCCAGAAAGCTGATAAATATTCTCACAGAGTTGATACTAAGATATCCCAACAGCTGCGGAAGCCTGAATTCTCTTATCAGATGGATCCTACGGATGAAGTTTTTAACACTATTTCAGAGAATGATGTAAAAAGAAAATAAATGTTTGATGCTTATCTTAATTTGTGGCTTTAATTGTCTGTTAATAAAATTAACCAAGTCAAATTTTGTTCCAATAATTTTATTACAATAGACACTTAAATTGAACACCAAAGCACAGTCATTATACAATGTAATGCCAAAGAAAAATGCCATAAATCCTTTTTCATAAAATAGTAACTGTTTGACAAATAATTGCTCATATGGACCAATTGACTTGACGTTCAGATTAATTAAACCTACTGTTTAAATTTAAAATGGGAATCTCTCTCATAGAAGAGAATCATTTATGCAAATGAAGATAATGAAAAAGAAACCTTTAAAAAAGATTGGTTACATCTGAGGACATATCATTTGTACATCCAGCACAATATATTCACAAATTAAAATGTAGAACTTGTAACTGATGTATGGGTCTTTTAAGTTAGGAATATGACGGGATAATGATTGAATAAACAAACAATAACTGGTAAGCTCTATTAATGATGTTGAGATGATGATTTCATCGTAAATTATTAACATGGTACATATCTTATCTTTTCAACATATTCAGCATAAACTTCACATAAAAGCTACACAAAAAAAATAGTTCAGTTTTCATTATTAGCTTTTATTATTAATATTTTGATCACATAATAGAAGTTTAAGGAAGGTATACTAACTAATATTTATGTCATTTAAAAATTATACAAAACAATTTTTTTTAAACATTAGGAAAGGATTATGAGAAAGTACATTTTTTTGAAAGGAGGTATTTTATAAGAAGTTTAAATAATGTGTAAGGAGGTGATTTATTTATCAAAACGTGATTATTAGCAATATATTATACTTTCCTTTCTGCCCATTGCTTGGCACAAAGAACAAAATGCTTGATAAACAGATAAGCCTGTAACTATACAAATAACTACATTATAGCAATACAGTCTGTACATTCTTTAGTGCTTTTTGCTACTGCTGGCAGATGACAACCTTGAGGAGCATCTAGAAGATGGCCGTCTGTCATCATCGTCATCCTGTAACAACAAACAAACAAAAAAGTCTTCTAATTGAAAAATTTTTCATTTTCTGTAAATTGTTCTAAATATAACATGTATTAAGTAGGTTCACATTTCACCACCTTTATGTAATCAAATTTTATCATTGTAGAATCACCACACATAATATAGCCTTGAAAAGATTTTGCTTGTAAAGTAGTTTAAATATTACATTATGAAACCACTGTTCATGTGTAACATACTTTACTTTAAAACCTGTCTTAACAAAAAACATTTTTACTAATTACTATTGATTTGTTGCAAAGACTGGCAAGAGTGAGCAAAGAAAAAAGGTCTGCAAACATAATGGAGTGAGTGAACATCAAATTACTTTTTAAAAAATAAATGTAAATATTTACAATGCTAAAGTTCACATAAACTTATACTAAGTGAGGAATTTAAAACATGACAGTGTTATACAGACATAAAATAATTATTCATTTCAGATGACCATCCATAAATAGTAAATATCAATATTTGCTGAGAACTGCTACAAAATTAAAAGATGTTAAGAAGAATCTGCAAAACTGGTGTGAAAATATAAAACTATGATGGTGCCTAATGGAAATCGTCAGATCAGAAATGTGAACATTTGTCAGGCAAATAATTTTTTATAATTGAAATTTATTTTGTGAAGCAAAAATAATTTTATAAATTCACACTATTTACTTTATGATACCATACTAGTATTTGCATTCACAAAGTTCTGATATTTGTCTTGTGATAAGTATATGTTTAAATATTGACAGTGTCTTCAGAAAAAGACAGCCACTAACAAAGCATGCTCTGTGAATTGGGTACAACAAACATGAAGCCCTTTTAAGAACAGAACTTCAGTTTACTTGCTTTAAGGAGTAAAGGACATACATATTAGGGCCGAGCAGGGTGCACTTTTTTGTCTGAGTACCAGGTAGGGTTTTCGAGTTTGGGTATAACAATTCAGGAATTATCTATTGACGAGAAATGGGTTCTGCTCAATAGACTATTGAAACTGTAGGGATCCTGTGTGTGTCAAAGTTAAAGGTTTCAAAATACTAATAGCATATTACTCTAACCTATAAATATTTTTAAAATCAAATATGGAGCTTAGATGAGAGTGCTGCTGTTTGGTGGTAGTACAAGAGGTTTCATTTTCCTTGTACCAATGTAGAAAAAGTTTTGAAAACATATTCATAGAATTTTTTTTTTACAACCCAGTTACATTTCACTGACAGGGTTTTGATTTTTTCCATATGTATAATACTCAGCATTTCCAGGTGTCTGGGACAGCAACCAGCTCAGCCCAATTTATATAGAAAGGTTTAACATTTACCATGAGGACACAATGTAAAAAATACATCAGAATGATCTAAGATGAACAAAAACTGCTACTTTTAAAGATGTTGGAAAACACATTGGCATTGCAATACAGAAAATAATTGTCTTTTAAGATGCTTAAGAGTGGAAGCCTATGGCAGTATCCTTTTCTAAAAGCATGATTTTTAATATGTTAAACATTCAATTGTAACTGAAATGACCATATTCATATTCTTTTTCATAAACAAATTGTCTGATATAATAATAATAAAGTTCATTTCAAAAACAAATAATCAAATGTTCTGTTTATTTCATTTTATTGGCAATTAATTTTTTATATTTAAATAACTGAATGGATATTTATTTTACAAATTTACTAGATAATAGATTACTATGATATCGGTAACTGATCTTTGTCAGAATTTTTTTTTCTACATTTAAATTGCAAAATAGTAAAAAGTTCCAAATGCTGATAATTAATTTACCAAAACAATGATTGCTTGGCTATATTTTAGCAAAGATTTGTGTTTTAGATGGAAAGTTTGTTGAAATTCAATTCAGATATCGGTAATTAAGAATTTCTGAGGGCTGAAATCCTTTCCCCAATACTTTTTAAACATCATTTTGTCACTACTGTAGATCTTTAACATCATTTTATCACCACTGTAATTTTCATTGAGATCAAATAATGATTCTTTATTTTTATTTTTTTAAAAACCTTTTGAGAAAACTGATTGAGGCAAATGATTGCCTATCACCTCAAGAAAATTGATTTGAGCTCTAATAAAGTGAACCGTTTGTTTAAAGAGTCTTTTAAAATATATAATGGAGCATGCACATACCACATTTACAACGCCAAATTTTGAGGGTACCACACTCAGACCTTCTCATCATCACTTTCATCATCACTAATAATAGGATGTCTCACTTTAACAGATGCACGACGCTTGACATTCTTACGGCTCTTCTCTGGCTGTTAAGAAAATTAGCATAACCACAAGGTCAGCCCACTTTTAAATGAATTTTCTTACTCGGCCAAAGTTATGTATTTTAATTCCCTGACGGGAGAAATAATTAAAACCCATGAACTACGTTTATGACATGATAAAAATGTGTCTTTCAGTGCTCAATGCTTCAGGAACACAAATCAGCAGTTCTAGAGTTATGGTTTTGAATATATAGTATTTGCAAAAATGTTACTTCTGTTTAACAGAAAGGGAAAGATAAATGCATTAACCCTGTTCTGCATGATACATTAAACTAGCAAGGTTATTTTAACCATTCTCTTATTACCTCTTTAGGAGTTTTCTTGACACCATCTCTTCTTTTCCTTGATCGTGTGGCTTGGCCTGAAAAAACAAAAACAAAAAATGTAATAAGATCTAAATGAATCAAGGTTCTTGCTGAAACAAAAAACAATGTTGCATAGATAAAAAAAATATTTTAAAAATACATTAAATAAAAAATTATAAATAGAGTTTTGCTGAAACTTACTGTCTTCATCATCCCCATCTTCTTCACTTTCTTCTTCCTTTTCCTCTTCTTCACTGTTGTTATTTTCCTCTTCAGTAGAGGATTCTTCTTGCTTGCCCTTTGCCCAATCTTTTTCCAGTTTCTCTCTTGCATTAGTACACACAGACTGCAACACTATCGAATCTTCATAGATCTGAAACAGAAGTGTTCATTACATTTAAACAAAATCCTTAAGCAGTGATATAGTGCATAAAAGCAGAAATACAAAGTAATGAATGGAAAAAAAGTGCTGGTACATTTTAATAATAAACTGCAAACTCTTCTTCCAATTACATTAAAATGTTCTTAAAGAAGCTCCAAACTAATAAAACAATATAAAAAAGATACAAAAGGTAACAAAAAAATACTCAAGCTATCTCCATAAACAATACCATTTGTAGTAGACCTATTCTTCTCTAGAATTAGAATAACTATAATGTGACTTACAATTGAGCCTTCCATATTAAAACTTTGAGCATTCTGACACAGCTCCATAATATCAGCCTCAAGCTCATCTAAAGTACGGTAACGGTGAGTGGAAATACGGGTCTGCAGAACAAATATGACAAAGTGAGTGAAAAAAAATATAGGTCTTAACCACAGTTGAATAACAATAAATCTAAAACATAGATTTCACATGTTTAATATGTAAACACATTGATTGGGCAGAAAATCTTAAGGAAAATATTATGAAACACTGTTGAAACAAAAATAGAACAGACCTAGAAATTAGTCTTTTTCAATTTATTGGGTAGAAGAATATCATTACTTTAAACAAATTCCATACAATTATTTGCTTCATCAATGTAGTGCTTTAAATACCATCCAATAACAATGCATTTGCAAGTGTTTTGCCAAATTTGACCTGACTATTCTCTCACATAATACATGACAATCTGGTGATAATTATCAAGTTAGGATTAGATTAAGTTGACTTAAAGAGAAGTTAAAAAAGTTAGCTTCATATGACATCAGCAAAGACTAGTTGAGGTGGATTAAAGAGGCAAAGACTTTCCTATAGTGTATGTAACAAAGCATTATATAAGAGTCTTCTTGCCATTTAATTTAAATACAAAAATTAAGTTTTTGTATCGAATGTTGCTACCTAACAGAAAATTAGCTTTTTTCACTGTGAATGATTATATGCCAATTTGATGAGCTTGAGTGAAACTTACAGAAATTTTCTTGAAATCTATAGGTTTCTGAATGATTTCGTAGTATTCCGGCATGAGCTTTTTGGAGGGTAGATGCATGAACATACTACTCAGAACCCGACCATCACTGGAAAACACAAAATACAGTCTTGTGTCTTATCAAAGCTACTACTAACTTAAAAGGAAAGAAAAATGAATGCCAAGCACTGGGGCCATATCGCTGAGTTCTTGCGCAGAGCACTTACATTAATTTTCTTGAAGTCCAGAGGGTTTGGAATGATTTCATAGTATTCTGGTGCAGCCTTGCGGGAAGGTAGACGCATAAACAATGTGCTCAGCACCCTCCCATCACTAGAAATACATAAAACCAATCAAATACCAAGGTTCTTTCTACCTGTCATGGCAGTGTGGGACATGGCAGGGCCCACATAATAACACAATCATTCAATCTTTATTGGAATTAACTTGCATTAAGTATAAAAGCCAGCTTTTTATAAATGCCTCCTTCATATCCATTTTGATACTAAACTATGCATAAAATATAAGACTGAAAAATCGACATTTAATATTTTAAGACAAAGCATTTTTTGTGAAAAGAAATTAATTTAAGGTTAATCCGTTACAAAAAAAAAAAATACAGATAGCATTTGTTTTACTTAGTGAATTTTTCATAAATAAACATAAGAGATCAAGAACCAAAAAGGCTTTTGTTAGATGCTTAACAGATACACATGCATGGAAACTTACCCGTCCTTGTAATTGACCACAATATTGTAAAGCTTGCGCATCGTACGAGTCAGATTAGGAGGGTTAGGTTGCTGCTTTTCCAGAGGCGGTCGACCCCGTTTCTTCTTTTCTTTTGGTTCATCATCAAACGACTGATGCTTTTTCCTACTGCCGCCTGGCGTTGCGGCTTCAGATTTTCTTTTCTTGGGTTTCTTTGGTTTCTTGGTAACCTCCTCTACCACCTCATCTAGATTGCCGTCTTCTATAGCCTAACAAATCAAAAAAGAAAATCACAATCAAGCTTTTTTATTTTATTTACATATAAATTTAGCTATCAAAGTCATTAAAGGAATGCACATTTAAAATAAAGGCAGTGATAAAGTAATGACTTTGGATAACTTTTTAATACTGATTTTACGGTATAGTTAAAAACTTGAGTTAACTTAGAGGCAAACAGGATAATTATAATATTCCAAAAAAAGAAAGATACAGCTGAGGGTGTTTCTATATGAGAAAAAAAAGGCCATCCTTCATAACTGATGTACACATATTATACATACAAAACATACCCTTAACCACTGCTTTTCTGTCAGTGAATCTGAGTAATCAACTTCTTTACGGGCTCGATTTCCTCTGCCAAATATTTTATCTTCTTCGTCCTCCATGGTGAGTCGTTCAACTTCTTTCTCATCTTTGACAATCCACATGGGTAATTCACTTTCCTCCATTAATCGTGGTTTACGGTTACCCTCTCTGGCTTCTGAACGACGTCGCTCTATGTCCATGCGCTGATTTAGAAAAATATTGTTTTGTTAAATGT